CCGCTTCCTTGGCTAAAGAGTCGGCAATGCGATTACCTTTACTCCTGTCGTGCCCTTTAACCCACCTCAGGATAATGTTATTATCTACCGAGGCTTTGACTGAATCTTGGTGGCACTCTAGTGCTAGCCCTGAAGTAACACGCTGTCTGTTCAAGGCTTATAGTGCTTGTCTGCTATCAGTGTAGATTGTTATGTTTTTGCCATTGTAACTTCCAACCAATATTCAGTCTACGGAATTCATATGACTTAATCAATAAAATAGAGAACATACCTCAACCAGACAACGCAAAATTACTATCCTTTGATGTGCAGAATCTATTTCCCAGCATACCTCCTGATGATACTATTACTTTGGTAATAGAATTATTGGATGAAAATAGAATGAACCCAGTCATGAAACGAGAAATCATTGACCTTGTGTCGTTATATCTCAAACAAAATTATTTTCAAATCAACAATATTTATTCCTCCTCAAAAGGTTTGATTATGGAAAATCCATTGAGCCCCTTACTTGCGGAAATTTTCATGGATAATGAAATTAAGGATGGATAATCTAGAGAAGTCGATCTTTAAACATCCTTTGATTAAGAATTTTTTGTATTGGCATAGATATGTGGATGAAGTTTTGATATGTTTTACAGGTACTAAGAGACAATTAGATACTTTGCATAGGGATATTAACAAAATTCATGAAAACATCAAAATCACTATTGAAATAGAAGCAGACAACCCAATCAATTTCTCGCACTTAACAGTTATTAGAATGATCAACAAACATGATTTTTCAATTTATCACAAACCGTCCTATACGGATATTACTATACATTACGATTCTACCCATCCCTATCGACACAAAGTAGCAGATTATAATAGCATTATTCACAGATTAGTCAATGTTCCTCTTTCAATAGATAATTTCAATAAAGAACTTAATATAATCAAGCAAATTGCGGTTAACAACGGCTTTAAAGTCGAATTAATAAACAAATGTCGATCGGTAGCCAGGCGGTTCGACGTGGGTGCTTTGTTCACTCACTCGAATTGACTGCCGTGTTGGTCGGTGGTTCAAGCCCCAGTCTGAACGATCGATTTTCACTTGCTATCGNACAGGTGCACAACAAAACTATGCCAGAAAATATACGATTCCTATCGATCTCCTGACTTTCGATTATGAGGTGAATATTCCAACTTCTAATGCAAAATGAACAAAAAAGTAATAATTTTATCCGTAATGTGTCTTCATTTTATTCATCTCAAAAATGTAGAAAACAATTTTTCATAATTAATAGTATAATGGAAATGAAACATTGATTGATTGAACCAAAACCTTTTTTCAGGTTCAATCTAGATCTAAATTCACCGAACCTCCTGCAGATGGTGTCTACGTCTATGGATTGTTTTTAGACGGTGCTCGATGGAATTATGATATAATGGAGTTGGACGAATCCCTTCCGAAGGTTTTATACGATATTGTACCATATGTAAGATCATAATATTTTTATTTCTCTGCAAAATATATTTTCTACATGTACACCTACACACACCTTTGATTTTTACATTCTATTGATATATAATCAATTTCCTTATGAATGCTAATTATTCCAGCTGAAAATTTGGTACATTTCACTACCTCGCAAGTAAAGTTCTGATGTGGTTGTTTTTGTCATTTTTGTCAGGTTTGATAACCTCTCAAAAATCCAGAGGATTATTTCTACTCAAGTTGTTTTCGTATGGTCTCTGGCTGGTTGAGAAATGGACAATTTTCGCATCAAGATTGTTCCCAACTCTAACTTCACAATCCATTATTCAAGCAGAAATGTGTTGAGTTTGTATTGTTCTTGAGGTCCTTTCATCTTGGAAATGAATCACCTTTACGTGACGAACAAATTGGATTTTCTTGCTACTGACATCGAGATAATTCGTTTATACATTGTGGTAACCGTAGACTCCTTTTATTATACGCACAGGGTGTCGTTACCAATATGAGAGCGGAATCAAGGATCCTCCGTAAACTGACATATTGCTCTCTATTATACAAATAATTTTGAAACCATTTCCATGGAACCATTTTGTCTGATTTCAATACTGAATGATTTTTTCAACAATATACTATGATCAACAGAATCAAAAGCTTTGCACAAAACAAGGGACAAAAAACAATATTTTTTATTTTCGCCAATTTTCATTTAAATTTGAGAAAGTACGTCCATTACTGCTGTCTTGAGTTGCTAGATCTGCGAAAACCGTATTGACCCTCATAAAGAAGATTATTTTTTACATGATAATTCAAAAGTCTCACATGTTCCAATTTCTTCAAGATTTAGAGAAAAACTGGAAGAACAAAAATTTATTGATATTTGTTGATTCATATCCTCTACCACTTTTCGAAATTATATAAAATAAAATCAACGATTCTTCAGTTTTGACTGCACGTATACAGAGTGACCACTTTTTTGATGGGATTGTATTGGTCACTCTTGAAAAGTTGCATTCATAGAAGCATTGTCAAGTAGTTAGAACAAATCGAGAATATCAGGGCCGGTTATTGAGATCTTAATAGAAAAGTAAATTCTGTCATTTGGATTTTTTTCCTACGTCATCCCAAAAAATTATCACAAAATATCACAGGCGTTTTTATTCCATAGTAAATTTTCCTCAATTTGACATCTTGTGTGTTCATTCATGAATGTGTTTACCAGCTGTGTATTAGAGAGGTAAATTCAGATCCCGTTGTTGGAGATCCTTGATGCAAATAGGATTTGATGGAGATTCCCGAAATTTCCTAGTGTTAGAAGATATTCTTGCATTTTTATACCATCAACTGAAGGAAAAATGATCGCTTGCGTTTGCTTACTTTGTTGGTGGGGGCTTTCTGTTGTTGTTGCAGGTTGGCGATTCCTGTAGTCAGAAATCCCAGGAAAAATTGGATTAACTGATTGAGTGTACGCATTTGGTCGGATCATATGTAAAGAGCACGGCACTGGAGTGTGCTGTTGGTGGCGAGAAACACAATAATTTGACAATGTAAAAAAGGTCCCAAGTTCTATAAGCACGCATTAATCGACCGTTTCGCTCGGTATTGTTTTGATTATTTTTTGTTTCTTCTAACAGCATTCTTCACGATAGTCAAGAAATAAAGTAACATTGTTCCATTGTGAAGATGTTGTTTGATAGACGAATAATTTGAAAAAAAAAACAGATCAATTACATTTTCATGAGTTCCCAAAGATATTTTCTGAACATGTTGTTGTATTAAGGCACCGGGCCATGAATATTTTTTGATGAAGTTTCTTGTAAAAAAACCTACTAACAAGTAAAAATTATCTATATTGACGTTTATGCCTCTTCAAATATTTTTCAAATTATCAACATATTTGTCAAATTCACCTGTATCTTTTAATATTTCTTCAAGTCTATTGAGTTCTTCAACATTATCAATGGGCCACCCCCAATCCATTTTTTTCAATACGGACCTGCATATTTTAAATAACTTTTCATGCTGAATTCAACTTTATATCATACAATATCATTAAAAGTTGATTTTCAAGTGATTTTGACACTTATCTAAATTTCTTTGGTTCGTCTCTGTATTGCATTTTCCTTCAGTTCAATTAAAAACATGCAAAACATTTCGATAAGGAAATCAACTCACTCATCTTAAATTGAATGGATCTTATCAAAATCAAAGGAAGACATAAGTAATAATTATTTTGGTCGGTCGGTAGCCTGGCGGTTCGAAGTGGGTGTTTGTTCACTCACTCGAATTAACTAACGTGTTGGTCGATGGTTCGAGCCCCGGTTTGAACGATCGATTTTCACTTGCTATCGTCCAACCCGTGTTAGGAATCACACGTTAAGACCTCGGTAATCCTTAGCTCGCACAAGTTTCGACTTCTGAGGGTTGTCGTTCGTAGGGGTGCGACAGTTGGTTAACGGAAAAACATATTTTTTTCAAACATATTTCTAAAGAAGAGAAAAATTTAATTCATAATAATTTAACGAAACTATTATTTATTTGAAAACAAATATGATTATTCAAAAGTGAATGAAAATTATTGAATTAAGTATTGTAAAATGCCCTTCGCGTTTCTGGAACTCAAACTTCTTATACATTAGCTTATTTCGTCTTCTTGAATACTTTCCAATGATTTCTCAATCTTTCTCAGAGATCTGGCAGGCCATGCCTCTGGACATCTCGTTCCAATACATGAATCTAAAAAGTTCGATTTGAATGATATTTGACTATTCTTGAGTTGTGTGGATCACATCCATCTGGTTGGAACTAGTGGGACAATTACGCCTTTACCGTATAAGAAGATCATCCAATATTTCTTCTATAATTTCTCCATATGTTCGAAGAAAAACTATATTGATAACTTCATGTGAGGATTTTTTTGTGACACGAAAATATTTGTTTCTTCGATTGAAGATGCCAGACTTTTTGAATGTTATTTCGTTTCCACAAATAATATTTTGCACAAAATTGTTGTTATTCCGCACCTTCCGTTGCAATCAATTACAGAAATAGGTGCAATTATTAAACGTCGAACCGTTTTGATAATTAGTTTTGTTCTTTTAGAGTATAATTCATCATATCTTTGTTGTGTTTTGAACGAATTCCTATCTAGTTTTATGTACAGTTCGTACATATGTTTTTTTTATTTGAGAATCTTACCATATCAAATAAGTTGAATTGAAATTAGACATAAAATTATTTAACGACAAGAAATTCTTGTGACACAATAATGAACGAAGTAAGAAATAATGTGAAATATCTTGTTATGGTTTTTTCATTCACGGCCACTTCTTGAAAATAATACATTCAATAAATCTAGAGTTGCGGTGTAAGTTACAGAGTACCTAATTTTTGACTTCGGTACCTAAAAGGCACCTAAAAAGTATCTAATTTTGGCATTTTCTAAATGCGATTTCCGTACTTTGCGTTGCTGGTGTAACAGAGCTCACGTTTATATCACCAGAAAATAAAATATCACATTTATAATGATTGACAGTTTTTTATCATACAATTGAAGAACGATATGCACCACAGAAAATACATTTGAATATTCTCATTCATTCAAATTTTGAGTTGACATGTTTGATTTCGAAATCAAAAAATAAAGAATTTCGAAAGAAAAGTAAGAAAACTAAACATCAAATATGTTCAGTCTTAGTAAATAATCATCTCATTGTAGCGCTGTAAAGAATACTCGCTATTTCAAACACGGTTCAATATATTCCGATTATTTTCAGTTATGGTTGAAGCCAGTGAAGAGAGACGATCTCCTCCCGAAAAAAACGTATACGTGTCCGGTGTACAAAACGTCTGAAAGGAGAGGCGTTTTATCTACCACAGGACATTCGACGAATTTTGTAATTGCCATGACTCTGCCATCCTCCCAGCCGCAGGCACACTGGATCATGCGAGGTGTAGCAATGCTTTGTCAGTTGTCCCAGTAATTAGGAGGGTTTGATTACCTGTACGAGTTTTTATATTTCACAGTATCAATATATTATGAATAGTAATAAAATGAATACTTTTTCGAAATTCTAGATTTTATTATTTTGTTCTGAGATTTGTGTGCAGTACTCAGTTTTTTGAAAATAATAGCTTTATGAATCCCAAAAAATATAATAGGGTTTTGGGAGGGACAATATAACACACACATTAAAAAGACAGAAAACATACTGAGGTTAATACAACGAATAACAATATTTTAAAATATATTCTTTTCATATCGTTGGATTTTGTGGCATTGAATTTTTGATATGTTGGAAATTTCATTATACAAGGTGGGGCACTCCATACGGCACGGTCCCTGTGAACCAAACCATTAATTTTTTTGGGAATATCTCCATTTCATCATATGTATATTGATTATGGTTTCGAGGACATTATTTTGGAATCTATAGTGACTCAAACAAGTGTAACAAAGATGTGTTTTTTTAAATGGAATACCATGTGTTTCGTTATACTTTTGAATGTATCATAAAAAAATAATATGATTTCTCATAGGGTATGAAATGAAATGCTTCATTCAAATAGAACACATCCTAATATATACAACAATGATAGTAATGTTAACATTAATATACATATAAATACAATAATACAAAAAAGATCTACTTATATTTGTTAATAAGTAGTCTTACCTACGATAATTTTATTCAATTCGAAGTTAGAAACTTGAGTAACCTAACCTAAATATTTTACATTTTCTGAGATGAGTCAGATTGAAATTGGATAGTTAGATTACTACTCATCATGAATGTGAGCACTCTTCTTACAAATCCATCAAGAAAGGATAATGAATGTCCATGATCATTTTAATTAGTGAAGCAGTAATGAACGTCTAATGATTAAAGTTTGATTAATGAAATGATGTCTAATTAGCACAGACTGGATTTAGAATAAAATTACTTGGATACTACGTTTCGTTATTATAATTTTGTCATGTTGGTTTTTTGAAGCCGGAAAAACTTCATGATGGTATGTAAAGTACTATCAATTGCGAACAAACAAAAGTTACATACAGTTTGAGTTGAAACGGTTATATTTTTAGTAGTGATTGATTTTTTAGAAAGAAAGTTTTTGGGTTTCTACTACTCGATCTTGTTAGAAAAAATGTGGGAATCTTCCAAAGAAAGGAAGGAAGCAATCGACGTCTATACATAGATCTGTAGATCACGCAAAAAAGTAACTTTCAGAGACAAACTGAAAGGAAAATTAATAGTTGTCTTTGGAATATAATGGAACCAATAAAGATGTTGAAAAGTCTCTGAGAAAAACCAAAGTAGAATTTTATAGGAATAAAATTAGAATGCTGCTGATAAATCAATTGGGCTCCTATATGATTTGGCCACAAGAAAAAATTACCTAATTAGAATTAAACCGAAATCAAACACTCAATTTGTATTTTACTCGCATTGGAAAATTGCTCCCGTCTCAGTTTATTATAATGATATAATATAATCCCTACATGTCAGTTTAGTGGAAAGCATCCAACAATTTGTAAAAATGTGAACTTTGTTACATTCGAAAAAATAATTATTGCGAATTGAATACGAAACATTCTTATATTCTAACTTCTTTATTCAAAACTTTATGCCTTTAGTATTTGGTACAAATATAGTTGAAAAAAATGAATAAATGATTGTCTTCCTGTCTAATATCAGGACGAATATTCAGTATTCATTGTCTTGAATCTTTCTTATTGTCATTGAGAATACGAACCTATGGATTGAGTTTGGCTATTAATAAGCCAATACCTTACAGAATTGCTGTTCAATTGAAACATATTCTGTGATTCTCATTTTCGAAATAGTTTCATGTCTACACGAACGAGATGAGCATAACTGACGAAGAGTAAAGAATATGACTATGAGAATCAGCATCTGCTGTGAGAAAAAGTGAATGAATTTTCTCAGAATCTATCGCATGTCACGCACACACTGTGGGGTGTGTGATAATACCTCCAGCGTTTCCTAGATCCTATTAAAAAGTATACGAGTGTGTTCAGGAAGTCGACATTATGTAACTTGCGTCTTAAGCTAACACTTCCATGCGGTTGCCACGGTTACGCCATCAAGATCGATGTTTCACCCCTGCGGGTGCGGCAGGGGGATGCTGTGATGTTCAGTGGCGTAGAAAAATAGACCGACACCATTACTCAGAAAAGCTGAATTCAATGTAAAATAATGGCTATGATTTGTGTCATGATAGAGCCATTTTAAAAATGTGGAAATGTATAGCCATGATATTTTAAAATTATCGACCATCGCCAAATTGGATGATTTCCAAAGCTTCCACATCGAAAGATAGATATACCTTCTAATATTTCTTTTTTCTACTAATCCGTCTGAATTTTCTAGTTTTCCCAAGTCTTCACAACACCTTACAATAAGGAGTGACAGAAGACCTAAATACTTTCTAGCGAATAAAAAAAGGTACAGAATGTAATGGAGAAGAGACGAAATTAGAATATTGGAAAATTGCCGGCAACATAAAATTATTTCCAAGAGTTTGGAGACATATCATACCATCTACGTGGGATGATAACTTAGAAGATGAGGTGTTTAGGTTACAACTTTGCAAGCTCTAACTCTGGTTTCTCTTCAGTGCGAATACAACTTTCGCCAAGGCCTAACGGGCTGGATCATCTATACTCCGAATATTTTTCTATGTAAATCGCTAGGACTTCGCAAATGATGTCTTCTTACGAAGACATCATTTGTTGGGTCGAAAGAAGACTTAAACAACGAATATGGATGATAAAAGAGGCTCCCAAAGGCGGTTAGTCAAAAAGCCAAGCTTTGGCAAGAAATGAGTTTCATTTCATCTTTTTCTGAAGCTTGCAGCTCAAAAACTAAAGCCCAAAAATGTTAGACTCAACTTTTGTCTGAAAAAAATATAAGATGTAAGCAATGTGAGCTTGCACATTTTATCTTACGAAAACGCCATTTATGGTTTCAACAGAGAAGTTAAGCCAGGAATAACACTTGTGAAAGTGGTTCCCAAAAGCGGTTTGTTGCAACCTGCTTCAGTTACTAGCCTTGCAGTGAAAGCTGCAGAGAAAGACAAAGACGAATCGACAACTCTCGTTCGGCGGTCGATGTCGAAACTTGGCTTCGAATTCCACGTTTATCATTGATATTCGTGGTTTCTCTTTGGTCAATCCCATAAATGACTTCTTCGTAATAAGAGATGTCCATGCTTATTTATATCCAGGCTTGTCATTGGAATATAGTTGATTCCAACAACGTATTCGTTGTTCAGCCTAGCACCATTGATGATACCTTTGGCAAGTTGAAATATAACTGTCTGGTGTGGGGTCACGAATGCTTTATATTTGGACCTCGCACAATGTAACCTCCAACGGAAAAAACCAGAATTTTTATTTTCACATGTTAAATTTTAAATCCGCCAGTTTCGTTGAGAAACTATTCAAGGAATGAGAATCGTAAAAAACCAATAAATAATTTTGAAACCATTTCCANAATGCTATTTGAATAAAAATCTAATATAAAGGGGCAATTACTAAATTTGTCCAGAAATTTTACTATGTAGTAAAAACGCTTACTATAAAATTGGAAAAATCCCTGTCTGAATTTTATTCAATTGCAGAAACATTTCTCGCAAGTTACTGAAATTTGTTTTTTTTTAGTGTTTTTCCATTTCAGGGGAGGGATAACCCAAATATGCCAGAATATGCCTAATACCTCAATAACATTCAGACAATATTAAATTTAATATGTTATTTCATCATTGTTATGATTAAAAATGTGAGGACTGCCATAAGTGTAAGCACAAGTACAAAATTATTCCTTCAAATCTAAATCGACCCTAGGATTCTGAAAGTTATTTCCTGTATATGTTTTTTTGAAATCTATTGTGTATCATATCTGGACATTTCATTCTTGTAATTGTACTGAGTTATGTGACTTTTTCCATGCCTTCCCTAGGTCTACGGAAATAAAGATTTTTTGATTTTGATTTTGATTTGATGATTGTTGAAGGAAATACACCTGTTTCCGAATGAGGCGTTTTTCAAACGTGAATTTATTGGGCTTTGGGGACTGAAAAGGATGATTTTTTGAAACATTGTACACATTTCTTCCATTGATCATTCAATTTGCAGGCGAAATTTATGAAAACGAATTACTGACTAAATACATTCTACAGTGGTAGTCGGTAACTCATCTTTTTTCATTTTTGAGATTGTGGAAGTCCAAAACACAGTAAGAACATGTATACTCCATTTCGATTTTTCAGGCTTACTACAATAAAATAAAATAAAGATCCAACATTTTCAGTACATTTCTGTGAGATAAATCAATCATTAAAATATAAAATTTGGCAGAATCATGTTTCCACAGCAACAGAGTTAAAAATGATTTCCACCAAGTTTTTTGAGTAAATTTAAATTTTTATTTTTCACTACTAATGATAGTGGTATATGAGTTAATGTTCGAGTATTTTTGTTCACCCCACAACTAACTGTATCTTTCTTTCAATTAAATAAGGTTTTTCTATAAGAATGCTCACCATTCCTGCTCTACCGTGTGGTTCAATAACTCACCTTATACTTTCATTGCCAATTTCAACTCCAAAAACACAATAATTACTGTACCAAATTTCAACCTACTGCGGATTTATGTTCATAGTGACTTTCATTCTTGAAATGATCTTAACAGATTTCAGTAATTGAAATCACACCAAAGTATTCATGAATTAACACCACACACCGCTGTTTTTTTAATAAAATTAGCCTTTCGTTTAAATGCCAATCTAACTGACTATGAACTTGCACACAGGAACAAATTAACTTTGTAATGGGTGTCAGAGCATTCAGGAATCACAGGTAATGATAAAGCTGATGAATGCGCTAGACGCTGATCATCAACTTCATATATAGGTCCTGAACCAGCTCTGGGGGTACCAAAATCATTGGTACGAAACCAGATTAGGACATGGACCAATAGGAAGCACACAGAGTACTGGACAAAAGTACCTGGCAACAAACACAGTAGAGCCTTCATTAGGGAACT